GAATTTAAAGCTGAAGTTGAACTTCAGTTAGGCAAGAAAATTAAGGCCATTAGATCTGATCGTGGTGGTGAATACTATGGTAGATCTGATGGATCAGGTGAACAACGTCCAGGGCCCTTTGCGATCTTCCTAAAGGAGTGTGGAATCGTCCCACAATACACAATGCCAGGTAAACCTAACATGAGTGGTGTTGCGGAAAGGCGAAACCAGACTCTTAAAGACATGGTGAGGAGTATGCTTAGTCATTCTTCATTGCCAGAATCACTTTGGGGAGAAGCACTAAAGACTGCAGTTTATATCCTTAATAGGGTTCCCAGCAAAGCAGTGACAAAAATCCCTTATGAGCTATGGAATGGAAAGAAACCTAGCATAAGACATTTACACATTTGGGGTTGTCCAACAGAAGCAAGGCCTTATAGGCCAAATGAAAGAAAGTTGGACTCAAGAACAATCAGCTGCTATTTTGTTGGATATGCTGAACGCTCTCGGGGCTTTAAGTTTTATAATCCCACTACAAGATCCTTTTTGGAGACGGGAAATGCCAGATTCCTTGAGGATGTTGAGTTTGGGGGGAAGATAAAATAAGGAATGTTGTCTTTGATGAAGAAGAAAATAATATTTCTCTTCCTAATATTGTCATCATTCAAGATGCAATTACGGAACAAGCAATTAATGATCAGGTCCCTGTTCATGACATTGTTATGGAACAGGCTTTGGTCCCTGACATTGTTTTTGGTCAAGACAATAATGAATCACCCCCTATGCCACCTATAGAACAAACTCAACAAACTCAAGAAGTGCCATTAAGGAGATCCACTAGGGAAAGGAGAAATGCAATTCCGGATGATTATATTGTGTTTCTTCAAGAGTATGAAAATATTTTAAGCTTGAAGGCAGATGATCCAATCAACTTCCAACAAGTCTTAGAAAGCTCTAATGCTCATAAATGGATTGATGCCATGAAAGATGAGATGCAATCTATGAAAGACAACGACGTTTGAGATCTTATTGAGTTGCCTAAAGGTGCGAAACCCATTGGTTGTAAATGGATATTTAAAACCAAAAGGGATTCAAATGGCAACATCGAAAGATGTAAGGCACGTCTAGTTGCTAAAGGTTTCACTCAGAAAGAAGGCATAGACTATAAAGAGACTTTCTCTCCGGTTTCTACGAAGGACTCCTTTAGGACAATAATGGCGCTTGTGGCTCATTTGGATTTGGAGCTACATCAGATGGACGTAAAGACAGCGTTTCTCAATGGCAACATTGATGAGACAATTTATATGGTGCAACCAGAAAACTTTGTATTGGGAGATTCAAAGTCTAATGTTTGCAAATTGAAAAAGTCCATCTATGGCCTTAAGCAAGCTTCTCGTCAATGGTATCACAAATTCCATCAGGTTATTATCTCCTATGGCTTTGAGGTGAACTTAGTGGAAGATTGTGTGTATCACAAGTTCAGTGGGAGTAAATTCATATTCCTGATACTATATGTTGATGATATCTTACTTGCCAGTAGCGATATAGGATTATTGCATGAAACCAAGAAACTTCTCACTACAGATTTTGAGATGAAGGACCTTGGTGATGCATCTTTTGTCTTAGGAATACAGATACTTCGAGATCGCGCTCATGGTATCCTACGGTTATCACAAAAGGCCTACATTGAAAAGATTTTGGATAGATTTGGCATGAAGGATTGTACGTCAGGAGATACGCCCATATCTAGGGGAGACAAGTTTAGTCTTGCCCAATGCCCTAAAGGTAAGCTTGAGATGATAGAAATGACAAAGGTACCTTATGCTTCGGCAGTAGGAAGCCTTATGTATGCCCAGGTTTGTACTCGCCCTGATATAGCATTTATAGTGGGAGTGTTAGGAAGATACTTGAGCAATCCTGGAATGGATCATTGGAAAGCAGCCAAGAGGGTTATGCGGTATTTAAAGAGAACTAAAGATTATATGCTTACATATCGGAGGTCATATGAATTAGAGATCGTCGGATATACTGACTCTGATTTTGCTGGATGCCAAGATAGTAAAAGATCCACGTCAGGTTATGTCTACATGTTGGCTGGAGGAGCTATTTCTTGGAAGAGTGTTAAACAGACACTCGTAGCTTCCTCTACTATGGCCGCTGAATTTGTAGCTTGATTTGAGGCATCCAACCATGGGGTATGGCTGCGAAACTTTGTCACAGGGCTGCATATAGTGAGTGGTGTTGAAAGGCCACTGAAGATTTATTGTGACAACAGGTCAGCAGTGTTGTACTCCAACAACAACAGAAGCTCTTCAAAATCGAAGCACATCGATATAAAGTTTCTGGTTGTTAAAGAAAGAGTTCAGAGCGGTCAGATTTCCATAGAACACATAGGGACGAACTCCATGCTTGCGTATCCGCTTACTAAAGGCTTAGTGCCTAAGGTCTTTCACGAGCATATTGCTCATATGGGTGTTGTTTTGTTCGATGACGCTACGGTTTAGTGATAGTTCTTTATGTTAGTGTTCTATGAAGATTAAATTTTTTGCAGAATAAAGAATTCAATGTTATTTTCCCTCTGAATGTATTAAATTTTGTGCTTGTGTTTCTGCTTTGTGTATGCAGAAAATTTAGGATTGATCTCATACAGATTAAAGTAGGACCACTTGGAAATAGGCATGGTAAGATCACATTGCATGTAATTTCCATGCCACTCATCCATACTTGATCTATGTCATTGAATATATTGGTGCGATGACCACGGAAGGTTTAGTTACGCTTGAAAGTGACAAAAGCCGCCATGATCTCATATTGATATAGGAGGTGGACCAGATTGTATCTAAGGAGGAATCTAAAGAAAAATAGCATACAGTTGCGCATTAAAGAAATATGATATAATTATCTCAAGTTAATATGTGGCCCAAGTGGGAGATTGTTAGAAAATTATATTTTCTAATAATTATTGTGGGTCACATATTATATTAATAATTATATTGTGCTATTTATATATATTGGGTAAATTAAAGTGATCAGGTAAATATTCCCAAATAGATTCATAAGTGAGTATGAGCTGAATGAGTGGATACCGGTGTTGGGCCAACTAGGTATAATGGGAGCTTATTGGCCCAACAATAAAGATAAAAACACTATATAAGGGTTATGGTCCCCAATACGTCAAATGAACAACCCTAGTTTCTCTTTCCCATCAAGAGAGAGATGGCACACTAAGGAATTCGGTTTTAGGGTAATTTGACTGAGGAAGACTATAAACCCCAAGAGACAAGATCAAAGTTATTCCGCTGCAATGGAGACAGGTATGCCTCCACTTTTATTTTGTTCTTATTTTTCTTTATGATTTGGTATGATGGATCTTGGCTTGTAGGTGATAGTTATCACCATAAGGTTTAGAGGAATTAAAAATTCCAACAGCATACGTGTTAGAGCAAGATGGTTGTAATTGAATGATATTAAAAAAAACATATTGTTGGATGCTAATAGAATTTTGAATTCATAGCTAATCTGATGGGGTGATACTGATCAGAAACTCGTCTTGGGAGTAGCTTTCGCAGAATGAAAAGCACCAACGCGGATGGAATAATCTCTACTAACTACAATGCAGAATAATCAAGAAAGAGAGAACCATTAAAGACTAGAAGGCAATTAATTTTCAAGCAATAGCAATATGAAAAATGTTGATCTTTCTATTTGCTTCCCACATGAGATTCAAGATGGCATTACCTCCTGTTTTCTGAAACTATATATAGCTGGAAATTGCTTTCTATTTAGCAAATCAATTCATATTTTCTTAGACCAAATAAAGTAGTCATCATCTTAGGAGAGCATTTTATTGTGCTGTCACATGATATAACGAAACATTATCCGCTTTTCCACCCGAGGCTCACTAAGAAAAGTAAGATGTTGAAAACTTACCAAATAATACACTAGGTTAAGAATGGGATGGTCCAAGATATCAAGATCTGCCTTCTCATTAAATGCAGAAATTGCAAGCTATGTTGAAGTTGACAAACGAAGATATTGTCAGAGAATAATGATTTCAAATATATACAATAGTTTTAATTTTTAAACTAGAAGGAACTTACCAAAGCACATCTTATCTGGAAACAAGGGTGACACATACTTGTAACTGAGCCAACCTGCTAAGACACCTATAACTTTTAGTATTTTTATCAACAAAGTCCTTAGACATTTTTTTTGGGTGATACTTGGAGCATGGTCTGAATTTGACCCTATAAGGATATATTTCTTTTCTGAGGTTGTAAGATAGAAAACAACTCATACTTATATACAAACCTCATAAAGCTTCTTTTGACGACCTCTGGATTCAATGGGAAAGCGCCTCAATAGGAAAAATAACCTACATTTTTATAAGCAGGTTAGTGTTCAATGACATAAAAGAATGTTTCCATCCTAAAGATGATATGACTGCAAACGAACATTAAAACAAAGTTCAGAATACTAAAGAGCTATATGTGGTAAGTCACTACAAAAAAATATGTGATTTGTGGAGGTTAATAAACCCCCCCAATAATTATGTAAATTGTGGCGTTTTCATGGAACTCCACGGTCTCCTGATATCTTATCACATGTCTTTCCTCTCCCGCTCTCAGACGTTTTCGCCTTGGTCCACATTCCTTTTTACAAAACTCTTGTCTCTCTCTTTAAAACTTCTTTGCTCACATCCATTCAATCCTTTCTTTTCTCTCTAAATATTTCTTCTCCATTTTCTCTCTGTTTCACTATGTCCACCTTCACTCTTTGGTATATCCATTTCTCTGCAACTCAATTTTTGAAATCAGTCTCGTTGTCAACGGTTAGGGTTCCTCGAATTTCAAGTCAAAATGTGCGTGATCGAAAATCAGCTCTCGTAAGGTTTTCTTGTCCTCAAACTCCAAGCACCGAAGCTTTGGTGTTGTCTATGTTTCAAGCAAGAAGAAGAAGATTAGGTGTTGTCCTCGAATTTTCAGATAGTGATCCTTAACAAATCTCAAAGGCAAGTTCTTCTCTATTCTCCTTCCGTCATCATCTTTGGAACTCTTATCATCTCTATTTCTCTTTCATTTCTATTCATTTTCTCTTTTTTTTTTTTTCTCCATCCCGATTTCCCTGATCTGAATTGTAATTTACGATTTGGTTTTGGCCTTACTCGATCTTTGTTGCGTCTCTTCAGATATTGATTTCAACCTTCATTTTATCTCTTTTTTTCCAATTTGATATAATTTTTTGACATTGAAATTAGGGTAAAAGGTGCTGATGTTTTGTTACGGATTGATTCAAAATAGTTAAAAATGGATCTATCATTTACGAAGCTATTCAGCCGGTTGTAAATATATGTCATTTGTTGTAGGGTTTAATGTGGAAACAGTGGAATATAACAACATCAGCTTCACTGCTTGGGATGTTGGTGGCCAGGATAAGGTATTTCTTTTCTACTCTTTTTTTGTTTTTTCATGCTATGTATTTTTATCTCTGAATTGAATTTTTTTGTTGAAACGTGTTATCCAAATGTTTTTCAATTATGCAGAAAATAGGGAGTTATATGATTATGATCGATGTGGATGAAACTATGTAATGATGTTTTCTTTTCTACTCTAATTCATCCTAACACTCCATTTTTTGTTCAATTTTTATCAGCTTATACTATTTAAAGTTTTAAGTCCTTGATGGACTTTGCTGCTTTTCAATTATGTACCTCCAATGTTATCTATTATAGGATGGGTTTGAATTATCAAAGGGAGCTATATGATCGATGTGGAGGAAATTGGAAGTGAGTTTTCAGGTTTTTGCAGGCTGTGGAACAATCCTCTGAGATGGTGGGAGACATTATCAAGCAATGTACTATTTCATTATATCAATCAATTACTTTGTGTGTGTGGTTTCGGTTCATCACTGAGATCATTCCAGGGTAAGTAGTTATAATCTGCATCTAATTCTTCTTATCATATTTCCTTGTTGTTTATTAATTTTCTCTGGTTAAATTCTAATGTAATTTCTCTTCTAATGCAATTTTTCTTCTTTGATGATATTCACACCTTTGTGTCTCTCTCTCTCTCTCTCTCTCTCTGGGTGAAGTCAAGCATGTGAATCCAATCACTCTTTGTTTCTATCACTTTCTTCTGCAATAATCAAAATAAAATAGCAATGGAGAAACTTGTCAAAGGCATTTCTCTTTTTTTTTTTTATTTTTATTTTTTTTTCCGTATAATACTAACGTGGATTATTAGATTGTATAAGTGAACTACTTTGTTCCCCTGTTTCTCGGTTTCCTTTTAAGTTACCAGCAAGATCATAACCAAAATTTTTATTTGAAGACAAAGATGACTCACCATTACAACCAAAGGGGATACGTACATTGTTATTGAAACCCCCAAGCCTATGCTACCCACGAGTAGCTTTCGTGCTAATGATCTAGGAAGGCAAAAGCTGATGCAACAGCAATAGCACCGAACACTATAAGGTTCATCAATTTTAATCTATATCTTCTTTCTTCCTTTTATTTTTTCTCTCTATTTTTTCTGTCCCATGTTATGTTCTGAAATGTGTGAGTATGTATATGGTTTTAGGCATCGATGGATTGGTCGATATGAGGCTCATTTGTGGGATAAGAATTTTTGGAATGAATCACAGAGCAAGAAAGGAAGACAAGGTTCTTAATAATTAATTTACACTTCTCATATTTTCTTTTTCTGGATTTTTTTCAGTTAATTATTTTATTTATTGGCATGTTCATTATTATGTTGTCTTGGTTCGTGATGGCAATGGAAAACAACTGGATGCAGTATATCTTGGTATGATTTGAATTTTTGTTTAGATATATAGCGTCATTCACAAACACCTTCATCTAAATATGATTTTTTTTCTCCTTAAATTTTTGTCCTGTAATTTGGTGTTGAGAATTGAAAGTGGGTTTAGTTGAGGGACGATTTAATGACTGCAAACTTGGGTTTGTTAGGGGCATATGACGATGAAGAAGCTGCAGCACGTGCCTATGACTTGGTAGCACTGAAGTATTGGGGCCAAGATACCATTCTCAATTTTCCAGTTAATTCCGTCATTGTCCAATTCAAATGATGATTTGGTTTAAAAAAAAATGTTTATTCAGAAACCAGATTTGATCAGTTGATTTTATATATACATATATGTTTTTTGGTTGTAGTTCTCAAATTATCAAGAGGAGCTCAAGGAGATTGGAGGGCCAGTCAAAAGAAGAACATATTGGATCCTTAAGAAGGTTTTTTAGTTATTAAATCCTTATCCGGGAGACTTGCACCCACATAATTAATTCTTATCTCACCTGCTCCTAAGTTCTTAAACTTGATGTTTGATTGGTGTTTTGACCTGCAGCTAGTAAAAAGCACTTCTATTCATCTTTATTTTATATTTCATGTGTATATCTATATCTATATCTATATTTTTTTACCGTTATTTTGATTTGTAATTATAGTAATTGATTTTTACTCTTTTACCGTTATTTTGATTTGTAATTATAGTAATTGATTTTTACTCTTTCATTGTGTAGTTTTAAAATATTTACCGTTATTTTTACTCTTTCTGAATATTCACTTGTGTGAGTTTACATCAATCAAAATAGATGTTCGCTGAAAACAATATTGTGACGCAGTTTTAAAGCTTAAGATTTAAACGTTCAACTACAACATCCGTAGGGCTTGGTAACCTTTTGAATGGGAACCTATAAGATTTAAAGTACAATCTTTTTCAAATAACAAATAAATTTATACTTGAAATGAATGTCTTTTATTATTCAAATAAAAACATTTCTCGTAAGCTCATTTTTTATTTTTTTTAAATATAATAAACAAATTGTGGAGGTCTATGCCCTCCAAGAAGTGATAAATGTTGTGGGGTCTATGAGTAACATAACATTTGTGGGGGTCTAGAACCTCTAGTAAGTGCAATATTTGTGGAGGTCTAGAACCTCCCGAAATGTGTTGTGGCGCATGCAAAACTGGGGGTTATTGAGGATGCCACAAATGTATTTTGTAGAGGTCAAAGACTCCCACAATATGAAAATATGACCCCCACAAAATGTTTGAATTTTTGTAGTGAGCTTTTGAGTAGTAAATACTTCATTGTACACATTCACTCTAGCTTTTAATTTTAAGATCATTTTTAGATGTTTTAATCTTCTAAACAGTACAAAGTCGACATGAAATACACAAGACCAAGATGAAATGTGATTTTTTTTGAGAGAAATAACCTGCAAGGAAGAGTTTAGCTGCTTCCATGCCAGTGGTTGTTCTGCTTACATTCATGTAAATCCAGAGGGAGACCTAATATTATCAAGGTGAGAAGATTAAAAAAAAAATCATCAAATTAAGAAAACTTGTTATTTTAAGGACTAGAATGGTGGACAAGAAGATCAAACCTGTATGAAGTAAATAAATCCATTGGCAATAAAATATGCAGGCCTAAGTTTCTATATGGGCTTCTTGCCTGAAATTCATTTGAGGCAAGTTTGCTACCATAAGAAGTTAATAACCAGATCGATACCCTTTACTTTTGGTTATGGGCAACAAGATGATATATACACGAGTATAAGTTTAGACTTAATTTGTTTCCACATATAAAAGATAGATACGATTCAATTGAAACTCGCTTTCGACTTACTCCATCTACTATATATATTAGTACGTAAATCACAACATCGACAATTGCATATTTTACACAAACTAAGACGTGAAACTTTCAAAACTCTTCATTATATTAATTGTTAAAGGCCTCCATCAAATTATATAAAACAAACTCCACAAAAGCTCAGAGTTAACCAAGTTGTAACCTAAATGAGAATCAATAACACTTATATATAATTGTGTGTTTACATAATAACTGTACATGGATTATGGATATGCATGTTATGCACATCCTTTTCAATGTCTGATCTGCATATGTGATACGAAATAAAACACCCATCATAACTAACCACCTAATAACTTTTTATGATCATCCATTAAGTAAAAATTAGAAAGATAGTCGCCATCCCGAAAGGACAAAAATACCCCCAATACATAATCCCACTCTCACTCCACTGGCAGCTCTCAATCTCAGAAAGCCAATCCAAGGTCTAATTAGACATTCAATTTATATGGAGTAGGAAATTAAAATAATAATAACGACCTTACCGAAAAATGGAGACACCGGAGGTGTAGAATCGGCAGGCGAAACCGGAGCCGAGTCACTCTGACTCTAGTACCCAGGCAATAAAATCATGATATATCTCAGCCCAGAACAAGACAAGTAATGCATATGTAGAGAAAAACAGAAGACTAGGAACCTCCACTAGCACTTGCTCCTGTGCCTATAACATATTGTTAACACATTAATTCAAGTAGAAGATGTAATTTCTAATTAGGAAAAAGATAGGTTGACTCACTCTATGTACTTCTGAAAGTATGAGATCCAAAAACCTCAAATTCTTACATCAACATAACAGCCTAATAGCCATCAACCAAACAACACATATGTCATATGCAATTGAGTCAACATAATCAATAAGGATCTAACTAACAGAGAAGTTGTGTTTTTCTAGTAAATTATGAAGAAATGAAACGCACCTCAACATCTTCAATCATTGGTAAAATTTTCAGTTTGGTTGAGAACACACCAAACTTAAAAAGAAATTCATTGGCCTGCATTTCAAACACATAAAGGACTGTTAATGAAAAACCTATAATGGCAATAGAAAACTAAATTTTAACGATCAATTATGAACCTTAGATGACTGAACCTACATAGTTATCTATCTATATAATTGTGTTATTGGTTCTGTCATGCATGCCTAAAAAAATAGTGCAGGTATATGCTTATATTTCATCTATAAATTAACACAATCCTAAAATAATGAAGTTATATTGTATAAATTAATTTAATAATAAAATTAAAAAAAAGCCAAAATACATAAATAACTATAGTTGAAGTAAATTTTATTAAGATCGGTTAAAGAGGAAATTTTATAAGAAACAAAATATATAGCCTAATTATTACATAGCTTAAAAATAAATGTAAGAAGAAAAGATGTTGCGTTCTTTTCGACATAGAAACAGGCTTTTATTACTCTTGGAAACAGAACTTGCAATATTAAAAAGAAAAACTATGAACCAGAATCTACAATATTTTTCACAGTCTTCCCCATTTTTTAACTTTTTGTTCTTATGCCTATAATGAACATCTACACAATCTCCAGAATAAACATCTACAGGGTCAATAGTTGCACGCCAAGTCTCAGAGATGTAGCTATTATGTGTTTCTTTAGGAAATCAAAGTTCACACTCTAACCCATATAGTACTAGAGAGAATAAAGGCAAAACATCAGTTAGAGAAAGCAGCACTCCCAACATCTCAAACTATTTAAATTAATAAATTATTTAAAATTAACATTTTTAAAATAATTTATGTAAATAAGTAAAAAAATATATATACAGGTAAGTGGGTCACCACTCACCATGCCTTTTAAGTCATCTTACTTCGTTAAAGAAGATTTTGCTTAAAGTTTCTCCACAACAGCTCACTTCCTTAAAAGAATGTCTTGGAAGTCAACCACATCTATCATATCAGCAAATTCCTTGAAAGCACCATTTTACTACTTTATTGGTTAATTAACATATCACGGTTCACTAGTATAAGTGAATAAAAAGTTAAGCAGTCTCACTACATTTCTCAAGTAAAGAACAAATAAAATCATACATGAAATGTAAGGTATCTTGTTACAGTCTTAATATAAATTAGTGCAAGATGACATGCTTCCTCACAATAATCTTGTAAAAATAATTGGGAAATCAATCTTTATAATTAACTCTTGAAAAATTGACCAAGCAAACAAAAAAAGCATGCAGTGAATGTGTCCTTTTACTTTTATGAGGAGTTTCTTCAAACACCTTATATGCATGGCTAATTAATGCATATTTAACTTAAAGAACGTTAAGCTTGGTCACAATGAGACTATTATGGACAAGGCCCACTTTCAAACACTGTGAATGCAACTGTGTATATGAGATCTTACTGCAACAAGATTCCAATAACTTTAACGAACAATTTTAGACTTAAAACCACATTATTCAAACTCTTTAACTCCCAACGAACAATCATTATACAAACTTCAATAAAAAAATAATAAAAATGATCCAATCCTAAAATGTTCCAGATGGCCCAACGCCGTATGACCCAATGGCCTAAGCCCAAACCCTTTTCCTTTACCTGCATCAGCCCTACCAATCCTCTAGCCTCTCTGCCTCTAAGGCGACTGCACTTCCTAGGTGAGATACCAAAATATCTCACCTTGGGAATCTAACTCCCTGGGAGATCGCCCCAGACACTATAAGTGGTAACTATCCCATCGTCATACGCTGACATCGTCAGGCACAGGGGCTGCATCACTACTATCATAGCAGTGTCAGCTACCCCTAACTGATCCCAAGGAGGGTTGACCCCCTCTCACCAACCCACGCAGGATCAGCATCTCCTTCCCTTATAAATACCCCTCTCCACACACAAGGAGGGGCATCTTAGGTATCATTATTTTTCCCATTATTCTTGAGTCACATACACACACACACACCCTACCCACCATTATCATCTGATAGTATTCATACTTGGAACAGTACCTCCTAGTTTGGTCTTCACCTGTGCTAGAGGTATAACCCTATAGTGACTCCATCCCTAAAGGAAACATAGTGGGCTTATAGATCCCAACGATACATAAAATAAAAGCAAAAATTAAAGAAACTAGCACTAAAAAAACCTAAAATAAAAAATTATTTTCATTATTATCTCGTATTCTGATTTGAAGAAGCAAACATGAGCATAAATCAAAATGGAGAAGATCAATTAATTAAAAGAAGTAAATGAAACTCTACTAACCTAGATTGTTAGAGATTTGATGAGATCTGAAAGCTAATGGGGAAAAGGATTACAGGAGGGGATTGTTTTCAATTCCATACGACAAAGATGAGGATTCTACTTGGGTTTGTTAGAGCATGGCATTTAGGAGATGGAAAAGAAATTTCTAGAAGGAGGGTTTGGGCTCCATTACTTAAGCCTATGCAGGAGGTAGCTTCTTTACTAAATTTGCCACATGTGATAAAAATATGGGTAAGCCGATGTCCCTAATCGCTGGTTTTTTTTGTAGTGCAAGTGCAATGTATAAAAATGGGGGGAGGTGTAGAAAGGCTGCAATAATTCTCCAAGTTGACAGAGTAACAACTCATGTAAGTAAAAAATATAGTATATCTGGTGGAGAAGAGGGAGGGGATATTTATAGGCTCTATGGTGAATAAGGGGAGAGAGCTTAGTCAACTATTATGGGGAAGAGCCATTTAGCCTAGCCTTGCAAGCGCAAAGACACTTTGCAGCTGCTGCCATACTGATAGAAACTGCTGTGCAGGGAAAGTGTAACAACTCGTTGTACCCCGGTATATTATTATTACATATGATATTAAGCGCAGTTAC